GTACAATGCCAAAAACCAGTTCCCTTGTTTAAGGAACAGAGGTTTCTTGAGCTATTGTACTTAAACATCCCTCAACCACCAGCAAGTAAGTACGCTGATTTCGTTGGAGAGGGCATGTCAAATTTAATCGTCAGTGTTAGTGTATTATGTAATATTGCATCATATTATTATGTTTTTATATTGAATTTTTGTTGTATTAAGAATGTATATTCTCAATAAGAAGAATTTATTTAATTAATTGTAAAATTGACTATTATATTTCACTGAATACAAAAGTTCATTTCATTGAATATGAGTTTTCACTAAATATGAAAAATTATGAATATATGAAAGTTCACAATATAATATATAATATAATGGAAATATGTTCATCTACAAAAATTTCAAAGACTTTTAGTGAACTTTGAACATTTACCTGGTTGAACTGTTTTCATCAAGAGACTTCTAAAACAGACATTCATTCGACATTCAAAAGAACAGTAGAAATATTTCCGGGAACATAGAAGAGTAACCAGCTTGCAGTCATCATGACTGGGAGTGAAGGCTCACAGATGAAGATAAATAAAACATGACTTAAAGAATTTCCAGTCTTAATTTTCATGCATATAAAATCATTTGCATAGATGTTTATCCAATCACAATGCAATCCTAAACATTTCTATCATTCAATCATAATGAAACACGATAAATTTATATTATCATTATGTTATTACATTATCAATGATCATTAAAAATTATGATGCAGGCAGTTTAGACAGGGAAGCAAAGTGAGGAGTTATTAGCCAGATGGATGCCAGGAAAAGAGTGACACAGTTTATTTCCGAGTGGTATTTACGCAAAGTACATGCAGAGAGCTATTTTTGGTTAGTTTGAGGTTGTTATATAATCATCGAGGATTCTTGAATTTGGGAGAAAAGACTTTAGGGAAGAGCACCAAGTTTAAAATGTTAACTTTGGGGTCACCAATTATTTTTTAAGAACACCTGTCGTATTTTGTTATATCTTACATATTACCCCCTTCAAAAGAAAGGTCAAGAGAGCAAGGTGTCAGAAAAGGATTAGCAAAGCAAAAGAGAGTTTTGTATATGAGGAAAAACATGAAGAAGCATCAAAGACATAGCCGTTAAGTTTTACCTATACCTCGTTATGATTCATGGCCTTTCTCATTACTCTTCTATGTTCCCAAAAATATTACATATATATATATGTATACAAAAAGAAATTAGAAGATAAATTTTAGTAAGCAAGCAAAAAAGTTATCAAAAACTGTGGCTTCGAGAAAACTCCAACATAAGCCTATTTAGTTGCTATGAAAAGTGTGAAAGAGGAGAAAAATATTTGAATATTTACAAGTTAAATTAATAAAAAAGTAATATGCTAAACAAATTGGGAAATTTTTAACACAGTAAAAAAAAAACAATCAATTGAATGAGGTAAAATGAAGATAGTAGGCTACATGCTAAACAGAAAATTAGATTATAAAACACAGTAAAATACTAATCAATTGATCAAGGTAAAATATAAAAAGTATATTAAAATAAAAAGCGGAAAATGGTTAATTAGCCCAATTCGAAGTCCATTTTGGCTTTTCAAGGGAAATTTTTTTCTTTTTTAAATGAATTTCGAATTAAGCTAAATCCATTACACGCTTCGCCGAAACAGACAATTGAAACTTTGCGTGACAAATTTTTTATTGAATTAAATAAACTATGTCTAAAACACTTTAGTCTCAATTCTCTATTCCAATTTCCTGACGCGTCCGCATATATTGACACATTAAGGTGTAAAAAATGGAAAGGCAATTCTGATGTACAGAAAAAAAATATATGTGGATGCGTCAGGAAATTGGAACAGAGAATTGCACTAAAGTTTTTTAGACATAGTTTATTTAATTCATTAAAAATTTGTCACGCAAAGTTTCAATTGTCTGTTTCGGCGAAATGCATAATGGAGTTAGCTTGGTTCGAAATTCATTTAAAAAAGAAAAAAAATTTTCTTGAAAAGCCAAAATAGACTTCGAATTGCGCTAATTAACCATTTTCCGCTTCTTATTTTAATATATTTTTTATATTTTACCTTGATCAATTGATTAGTATTTTACTGTGTTTTATAATCTACTTTTTTTGTTTAGCATGTAGCCTACTATCTTTATTTTACCTCATTCAATTGATTGTTTTTTTTACTGTGTTAAAAATTTCCTAATTTGTTTAGCATATAGCTTTTTTATTAATTTAACTTGCAAATATTCAAATATTTTTTCTCCTCTTTCACACTTTTCATAGCAACTAAATATGCTTATGTTGGAGTTTTCTCGGAGCCACAGTTTTTGGTAACTTTTTGGCTTGCTTACTAAAATTTATCTTCTAATTTCCTTTAGCAGCACAATGTGCAAAATTTTGACCTAAATTAGTCTTTTTTTTGTTTGTTCTTACACCCTTACTTATAATAATATACAAAAAAAAAAAAAAAAAAAAAAGTATTAGGCTAAAAATCAAAAACAAAAATTTAAACAAAAATCCTGCGCTATAGCTGCAGGATTAAATTGGAATAAAGGCAAAGCAATTCCTCAGCATTATTAATAATTGCAACCGTGTATAAGAGGTTTAACAGAATATCTAAACATATCAAAATTAAAATAAGAATTCCTTAGTATACCCAATTCGAAAAATAAAAATGTGAAAAGGAAAAATATACAAAAATATAAAAATTAATTACCTTTTACTGAAACTCCGATTTAGAACTATCAAGGGAAAATTAATTAAAGTTCCATAAAAGTTGGTTAATATGTTTTGAATACATCTCAAATGTTCTGGTTCATTTGAGACCAAAAACCGAAAAAAGATTGAATTAAATTTTCTTTTAAGACATTAAAATTCATATAAAATCGAATCTCGTATGTAACCAGAGTTTTTGCCTACAAACTTTAATCTTTTTTCCAAACAATTGGAAAAAAGAATAAAATATTACATTGTGCCAAATTGACAACTCAGAACAACCATAAAACTTTACATTATGCAAATTGACCATTCAGAAAACAAATGGGTCTAGAAGCATTAAACATAAATCCGATAATCAAAAACAATTACAAATAAATAGCAAAATAAACATACTTTAAACCAAATTGTCATTTTAAACAGCACTCAAAAATTGGGTGGTCCCCGATTATGCTAACCTAAATTTTTAATACCAAGAAAACAAAAAACTTTTCATAAATATTTCTTTCTATATATAAAAAAATTTAATCTGAGCCTTAAATAGTTAAAAACTGAAAACCTATTTGAAAAAAAAAAAATTGGAAAAAAATATGTAAACTTACTGAATTATTAAGACGACCATCTTAACATAAATTTACTGAATTCTTAAGATGACCAAACTGTGTTCCATGCAAAAGAAAATTAAAATCAAATCTATTCTGGAGAACAAAATGTGTAGTTCTCGGAAGAAGTATGCAATAAGGTTTAAAATATCCAATAGCTAAACTGAGTATTTTAACGTGTGTTCAAAATGTCCTATCCTGTTAAACTTGTGTGTGGGGGGGGTGCCAAACACTGGGTGCAGTCTGTAAAAATTATTACTGACGAGGAGGGTGATTGTCGACTCCAAAATGGCAACATAAGAAACTTTGAAAAAATGCTGTCCTCTGTGAAATCTTAAAGCACAAAAACGGAACTGCCCCAAAGTTGAAGGAAAGGAAAAATATAGGTTATAAAAGTCTTCACGTAATCGTGGTACAATACATCTTTGAAACTAGGAGCTCCCATTTTTTTAGTAAAAGCAAGATTTTCCAGTAATTAAATTTACAAAATAGTTGAAAGATAGTATAAATAATAATTAAAAGGAAAGGGAACAAGATCTTTGTACATATTTACATTAAATTTCTTATTGTAGTCATCCAACTATTACCTCATTAAGGTTTAAGTTGTAGAATCTATTAGGTTATTTCGGAGCAGGAGAGTTTAAAAATTAGCAACACTTTCGTTGGGACTCGAATACGTGCCGAGGATGCTGACCACTATACTACGAAGGCATGCTAAGAAGGCAGGAGAAATACAAAGTATGGCTGGTTATTTTCAGGACTGCTCTAATAACACCAAAACAGATTATAGGAAAAATTTGACATTTTAATATGTTTTGAAGTAATCCTTATCTGCCGTAATACACTTCTGTGCTCGACTGTATAATTTGTGGAAACAACTTTTAAAGTTTTCTTTCGGAAGGCTCTTCAATGTCGACGTAATGTTCGTCTTGATGTCCCGCATTGCATTGCCAGTGAAGAGGTTTTTGGCCAAGCATGAGGTTGTGGAGCTGCATCATTCATCATACTCTCCTGACTTGGCCCCCGCAGACTTCTTTTTGTTTTTCAAACTCAAAACTGTGATCAAAGGAACACACTTTGTGGATGTTGAAGACATCAAGGAGAATGTGACATTGACATTGAAGAGCCTTCCAAAAGAGGAATTTTAAAAGTTGTTTCCACAACTTATACAGTTGAGCATAGAAGTGTATTACGACAGATGGGGATTACTTTGAAACATATTAAAAGGTTACGTTTTTCACATCATTTGTTCTGGTGTTATTAAAGCAGTCCTGGAAATTAATAGCCACACCTTGTACCTTATATACTCCCCCTTCCCTACTCCTCAGTAGCTCCTTAATTAATTGTGTATTCAATATCTTTTTATATTTTAATTTCTTTAATTATATTCTGTTTATTTTCTATAATTTTATAAATAGAACTAAACGCTATAACTTATATATTAGAAACTTTATCTGATGAATGTGATATCATTAAAAATCAGTTCTTTATGGTTTTTTGTGTCTTAACATAAAATAATCAGAATTATAAACAAAATTAATGAATAAATGATTTTTCCCCTCTTCCTCTGTCCTTTCTCAAAGTTTAACAGAAAAGGAGAAAACTAGTTATATTCATGTGTACTCAAGTGCTATAATGAGCATTACAAACTTTAACAAGTTTTATTATTTTTTACCCCCTGCAGTCCTCAAGTGAAAGATCAAAAATCACTACATTTGTAGAATTCCCATGCTCAGGATTAGATACAAGTTCGTATATGGCTGCTAGAAATCAGAGCTCACAACAAAATACACAGAGTGCATCCATCAATACTTTATCATCCTGGTCACCTTGGAAGCGATCCCGATCTCGTCCGTATTCAAGATGGGAAGATAATGTATATGATTTATATGCTGTTTGTAATCATCATGGTAGTATGCAAGGTGGTCATTACACAGGTAATTTTTTTTTTCTTTTGCTTTCTCTCTTTAAAAAAAATACTGACTTCATTAATTCAGCATGAAACTAAATAGTTTATTGTAATTTTTGTAATCTTTAAACTAAGAATGGAAATATTGCAGCAATTTGCAGGAATCCTGTTGATGGCCACTGGTATTTATTTGATGATAAAAAAGTTCAGGAAATTTCTTCCAGTGAGATCTTATCTTCTGATGCTTATATCTTATTTTATCAACGAAGTAGCTTAAATTCTCACTCTTGTGCCTCATCTTCATCCTCAGGATATAGCAGTGCCTCTTCTACATATTCAGCAAGCCCTGATCACTGGGCATTCCGAATGCCTCCCTTTCTACGAGAGGTGACTAGTAAAAGTCAAGATGATCTGTATGATATAGGTAAGATATATTAAAATCTTCAATAAACAAGAAAGCATTGCTACTAAGTTAGAGTTTTATTTCTGTTTTAAGATTGTGATGAAAATAGAGTAAAGGGATATGTTAGCGTAATGAGGAAGGAAGTGTCAAGTTTTATTCTAAATTATTTTGTGTAATTAATATGTTGTGGTAGTCTGCATTAGTGGTCTCAAACTGGTGTCCCGTTTGCTGCATGTAATTTTATGTGGCCAGTGAAGTGAATACATTTCATAATAATTCATTTTTATGATAAGAATTTGAAGAAAACATTTAAGATTTTTAGTAATTTTGGATCCAATTTAACATCATTTTTATTATTAAGAGTACATTTAGCTCTGGAAAATTTAGAAATGGAACTAACTAATTTATGCTGTTATATTAATTAATTTACATTGGTCATGTTCAAATATTTGAAGATGTTAATTTGATTAACTTTTATTAATACTTGTCAAAAGATAAATATTCTCAGTTACGAATACAGGTAACAACACAGTATCCTGTAACACGGATTAGCTGTAACACGATTCATAAATTGCGAGAACACTCCAACAACAGGGTTTTCCTATAACATGGTTTCTCTCTAACACGATAAGAAAACTGCCCAAGCAAACCGAATAATTTAATGAACTCTGCACGAAGATTTTCCATAATGAGCAAAGCACCCATATAGTCATATAACACATAAGAATCCTTGTCTCTTGAGTTCTGCCATTTGTCTTTCAAGATCCGGTACCTGTAAGAACAAATGTCCTCAGGGAGATAAGCCATGTTGTAGAGAGAGACCGTTGAATTCTTAACCAGTAATAGAGGAAAATTGTTTCCTTCCATGACCTTCAAAGCACAATTGCACAACAGAAACAATACCCAGTCTCAAGAGAGCATAATCACCAGATAACAATAAAGAAACCTCACTATCGCAGGTGAACAACATGAGGTGACAATATATGCTCTAAAACGCACAACCTGTATGCTCGGCTTCCAAAATTCCTTATCACTGTGGCCTGAAAACAAAAGTCTCTCACTCTGCTGGTCGGCAGTCTGCGTCTAGCCATGGTATTAAAGAATAATTTTTTTATCTGTAAGACATTGAGTTTCAGTCCCAAAACATGTGGGTGCTGGTTGCGCTGTGAAACCAGCACGCATCTGGGACTTTGAAACTTACTGAGGTAGTAGGGAAAAATACTTAACCTTCTCCCGTGTGCATTTCCGATGCATAACAAAATTTGCGAATTTAGAAAACATGTATGAAAGAATTGCATTATATGTAAATTTTTTACATTATTTTACAAATTAAATCATCAAAAAATATTTAAAAATAAACATTTATGTAATTTTTCTATAGCAGTGAAAACAGAACCTGCATAATAAGGATGTTCGGATAAAAGATTAAAAAACTGAGTAAAGTAAGGATAAAAGAAATTAAAAAAGTGTTTTTATTTTTGTTAAACGTCAAAGATGATCCCCCCCCTCAACACTGTTCAAAGCATGTTTTGTCTTTTTGGTACATGCATAGACCCACATTGCAGGTTTCTTTCGCACATGTATCTTGTTCTATGAGGTCTCTCCCTTGTACTACAAAATGTACACTGCCTGGATTTTCATTTTATTGGAATATTTCTAGCATTGTTTTCTCTCTTTTCATCTGGCACATGAAATTTGTGTTTTTTAATGTTAATGGGGGGGAGGCTTGGTCTTTTTGGCTTTGGTACGGATCTTTCGTTTCCCATTCGTATTTTGTCCCAAAATATTGATAAAATGTTTATGCATTTTCTATTTTTAATAATAGCAAAGTATATTTACATTATACTTTAACCACACAAAATAATTTATAAAATCACAACATTAGCATAGCAAGCGTGTTGAGGTCAGAGAAAAATCTGTGGAAAGGAAAGACATTTTCACTGGGCAGGTGCATGTATTGTTTAGTCATAAAATAACTCTGTGGTTTCAAAGCCCCTTATCTATATCCAGGTAAAAACAAACATTCTATTTGAAAAGCAGCAAACACCATTGCAAAGAGCAGTGGTTTCAAATTGCAACCACTGAGACTCTAGAGGATTGTGAGCATTGTGACACAATGTTCTAGTGGCTCTGAAACCACAAAGCAAATGCCATAAATATACATAGGTTATATATATATATATATGCAGTTTAATTATTGCTATTTTTTATTGTTTATGGTAGAAATAACAATGTGCGATTAATAACTTTTGAAATTTTAAGATTGTTTATATTACTAAAAGGAAGTTATTTTGTCTCATTGAAAAAGAATTTTAAAAGGCATCCGATTTGAAGTACTAAGACCTAAAAAATGTATGATTCTGCAGTCGTTTTGTGTTATATAGAAGTAAAAGATCAGTAATCAGTTTGTTTTCATTAAAAAATTTCAGAAAGAAGAGGAGGAAAAAAATTTGAAAATTAGTGGTTTCAAGGTGCGACCACCGCGCGTGAAAGGGTTAAGAGGAAATTTATTTCTTTAGAATTAATAATAAATATCTTGGACTGTCGTTTAAAAGGAAAAACGGCATCTCACATTGGGAAAAGTTTTAATTTGAATGAAGCAACAATCCAGACTATTAAGAAAAATGAAAAAGAAATAAGAAATGTGGTTGCTGCAGGATCTTCGACATTTGCAAAGTGTGCAGTTTGCCCCCCCCACCCGGCGCTAATAATTGAGAAGATAAAAAAGGCACTCAGCATTTGGATTGATGGTAGCTGTCAAAAAAGAATTCCATTAGATTTTAATATCATTAAACAAAAGGCACTCAAAATTTTCAAGCACCTTAAGGAACAAGGAGAATCCTCTGTCAACCCAAATTTTCTGGCAAGTAAAGGTTATTTCAAAATTTTCAAAAAGGTATCTTGCAACTCTTAGCATAAGAATTCAAGGAGAATCTGCATCAACTGATTATGAAGCTAAAGCTTAGCTTTTAAATTGTTTTGTGCCAGACGCCGAACATTATTTAAGGCAGAAAAACTTGAGCTTCAAGGCTCTATTACTATTAAATAATGTTCCGTGTCACCCACAAGATTTGAATTATCCCAACATTAAAATACTGTTCCTACTGCCTAACACTACTTCGTTACTCCAATCATTGGATCAAGGTATTATTTATGCCTTTAAAACATATTACATAAGAAGAGCATTACAGTGCATTTTAGTCTTAACCGATTCAAAATCAATTAAGGTAATGGAAGCTTGGAACACATTTCAATCAAGCACTGTATCGACATCGTATCTTTGTCTCTGAAAGATCTGAAAGCATCAATGTTAAATGCATGTTAAAAGAAGATTTGTTCCTTTTCAGATGAAATAGTAAACGTGCATAAATCGTCAAAAAATAAAATTGTAGGCTTATTAAACCTTTAAATCAATCAGAGGCGAAGGATTTGTTGACATGGCTACTGAGGGCGATTTATTAGTGGAAGAAGAAAATTGACAAAGCAGATTTGATGGAAATGGCATCCGAAGTCGTAAATCAGATCGATTCTGAGGACATTGATGATGCTAGTGCAGTTAATAATTCAAAATTAAAAAATTAAAAGAAGGCCTAAGCTTAGCTCAAAATCTTGAATCCTTTTTCTTGAGTACAGGCCCTTCTGCTGAAGTAAGCTGAAAATTCAAAAGAGAGCTGCAAAACTGTCTAGCTCCATATCGAGAAATTTACATTGGCCCGGTAAGAACTAGTAAGCAAATAAAATTTCACGTTTTTTAAAGAGGTAAGAAAATGCCAGAACTTTAAATGAAGAAAGAAATTCTGAAAGTGAAAGCGATCATATTCCACCAAAAAAAACATTCTCGTTTGATTATACTGAGCAGTGCAGATGAAAAAATTTATTAAACTAAAGTTGTGTTAAATTAAAATATGTAATATTTTTTGTACTGTGTTGTGCATACATATATATGATTAATAAAAATGAAGTTGTTTATGTAGAATTAAAAAAAAAATTGTTTTTTTAATAAGTTTTCAGAACATAATACCCCTTTTTATACTAGCTCTGGGTTTACACAACACGGCATTTTCTAGGAATCTATCTACCATGTTATACAATGTTTACCTGCATTTGCAATAAGAATAATCACTTTATTTGGGAATAGATAATGTGATATTTTAATGAGTTGCTTGAAAACTACGCAGCTAGAAAGACGACACTCGAAGACAGACATGGTTGCTTGGAACTATAATTTTATTCCATGATGACACATGTGGACAGTTTTTCTTGGGAAGTTTTGATATATTTCTTTCTAAAATTAATCTTAAATAATATAATGGTTACTTGAATAAATTAAGATTATTTGAATGAATGTCAGTGTGAAAATTTTAATATTGAAGTGTCAGTACATTTGAATTACAAATCGTGACCAATAAAAATTTCTTGCAGATACCAACCTTTAGATTTCAGAAATTTGAATTTTTCCGTATGTTCTATTATATATGTTTTGACGAATAGCTAGTATTCTTTTTTATTTTAGTTAGTCAATTTTGTTTTGTTCACAAAGCAAAACTTGTTTTTTGGTGGCCCATCAGCCTTTTTCAAATTGTGCATTTGGCTGGCATGTACTTTAGTTTGAGATTACTGGTCTCTATTACATTAAATAAAAACTTATAAATACTTTTTAGGCAATTGGCAACGTGTTGCACAATGGAGCACTAAAGTTAATGGTATTTCTAAGAATGGTCAATATTCATTAGTTATGATTCAAATGTATCATTTAAGTTAAAGACAAATACAAATACGGTGATTAATTGGTAAACTAAAGAGGAGCAAATGTATATGGAGGTCACCCAAGATACAATTATCCTTGAAAGTATCATTTTATAAAGGTGGAACTGCTTTTCTAAGTAATGAATCAGTTAGTAGATACGTGGTCAAGAGTGGCCAGGAGCAACAACTGTATCTAAAGGCATCCAGCTGTCGCTATTGGCTGCTGCCCAGCCAGTATAATAGTTAGCTAGGCTGAATGCTGTACCAATGGGCCC